TAACACCACCCTCTCTAAAGAACTATCCACAAATTACCAATAGAACGGGGTAAATTGACTCATTTTTATGTAAAACTATTTGAAATTTTTCAAATGTGAAAAACCATAAGAATAGCTTTAAGACATTTGATAGATGTGTAACATTTTCTCTAAAATTCATTATCACTTCTTGCTTGACATACAATACCAGCTCGTCCTAAGATTTTCATTGCAATCAAATTTCAATTTTTGACTGCTCTGTAACATTGTAACACTTAAAATTTTAAATTAATTTCATTCTTAAATGTCTGGTGCTGTCTCACATGTGTCATATGTTTTGCTGTTACTGTTGTACTTTTATAATTATTAAACTTCAGTTCCTGTCTAATGAATGTGCACTATACTTTATTTAAAAAAAATAGTAATTCAGCCATATTTTTGAAGAAAAATTAGAGTATAGTTAACTTTATAAAAATCAATATCAAAACAAAATAAATAATGTAGTTTGGTCTCACTAAGTTCTAAATGTTTATAATGTGTTATATCCTTGAAATTCTTAATCAGAAAGAAAAATATAACTCCAGAAGGGGATTTCAGCAATTTGAAGTTACACCTTTGTATTTGTTATGTCAAAAAAAAGTAAAGCTACATTTTGGTTCTAACCAAAATAATGCTTTGAGGCTTTTCAAATTGATTAGTTGAGAATGAACAATTACGTAGAAAAGGTTAAGTTACATGATTTCAGATTTCAAGAAGACGAAGAGATTAAGTTTTTCTTGTGTTTATGGTATGTAGGGAATCAATTTGAGTGGAGGACAGAAGCAACGAGTTAGCTTGGCCAGATCAGTGTACAGTGATGCTGACATCTATATCTTGGATGACCCATTAAGTGCTGTAGACTCGCACGTGGGAAAACACATCTTTGAGAAAGTGATTGGACCACAAGGTGTATTGAAGGAAAAGGTAGTTAGTGTGTGTGGCAAAAATATAAGAAGCATATGAGAACTATTTTAGTCAAAAGTCGTGATGGAAAATATGCCGAAATAGTGTGTTCAGACATGTTGGGGACATGGACCATTTGTTACCTGACATGATATCATGGTCATCCAAATGCATGAACTTTCATAATTTTATAACTAACCTTGTAATTAAAGTGAAATATGATTTAAAAAATGTATGCAAATTTGATACAGAAAATAATGTTTCTGAGGTAATATTGTTGTGCATTACAACTTCTGTATTGAAAAGTTTTACCTTGGATAGTTCCAGAGATCGCATTTGATTGACCATAATTTGACCTTTGTATCTCAGTGTAATGAATGCTGCCCAGTATGCCTAAACACCGTTTGTCAGCAATTTTTTTCTATTTCCCATGCTTCAAAATAATGAAGAAAACTAGGACTTTAGTCTCACCTAGTATAGAGCATGCATATTTGCCAATGAGAGATTTAATAATATGCAGACTTCCCTTTGAAATATTAATGTTTATAACAAGACTGTTACTAAAGCAATGTCAGCCTATGGGGCTTCAGCAAGAATGCCATCACTGGATTAAATAACTGTTTTTTGTTGTTTTTTAAATATTTTCATTATTTCAATAAAGTTGTCCTTGTAGTATGAAAAATCTAAGTCTACAAATTTAAGAATAAATATAGGTGCTTTATTTTGTACTGTTTTATGTTTCTGAAAAAATTTCCACCATTTATCAGAAGCAGGTGATGGTAATCATTTGAACAATTAATGTTTTTTGATTTATTAGACCCGCTTGCTGGTGACCCATAGTATTTCGTTCCTGTCAGAAACAGATCTGATTGTTGTGATGAAAGATGGAATGGTTTTAGAGCTTGGAAGCTACAAGGAACTGCTTGAAAAGAAAGGAGCATTTGGTGAATTCCTGCTTCAGTACTTGCAAGAAGATGTAGAGCAAGTTGAGAATTTTGATCCAGAAGAATTAGAAGCGATAGAAGAGATTGTTTCAAAAGTTGGTTCTCCAGAATTAGAACGGTAAACTCATATAATTATAGCTTATCTATCTAGCTCTGTAGAAAATAAAGAAACTAAGATGATAATTATATTTATATTCTGTTGCCTATATGTGCTATTTTATTGTTTGTAAATGCTGTTTCATTGGTTCTAGACTGTTGGTACTTAGAAAAGATAAGAATACTATCAAAACTATATGCAAGTCTGAAAATTAGTAGTTTTAGGTATAAATTATAATTTTTTTCTTTTGGAGCTGTCAAGGGTAAAAATTAAAAAGTTTTTGTGATTTAAAGTTGAATTTTAATGCTTGAAGAAATCTCAAATCTGTCTCTGATTAAATTACTAAGGTGTTTGACACTCCGCGTTCTATTAGTGGAACGTACCTTACTATTCACATATGTATTGTGCTGTGGTCAACTTTTATATATAAATGTTTTGTTTCTTATATTGAAAATAATAATTAAAAAATATTTAGTGATAGCTCAAATTGACCAAAAAAAAACCCGTTATGTTAACACATTTTCTCTGTGCTCTATATTGTCAAATGGTACAAAGTTTTATTAACTCACATGAAAGTGGTGTCAGGAGTTTTGCTAAGACAAATATTAGGTCTTCAAGAAATTAATGTCACTTTTTTTTAGATGAAAAAACCTGAACAACTTGTATATCAATACAAAACATTTATTAAATGAAATAGTATCCATTCTTAGCGATGATGCTTTTTCATCTTACAATCAGGTTGTTAATGCCCTGATTAAAGAAATCACTTGGCTTTGAAGCAAAAAACGTGTCAATGTTCTCTTTAACACCTTCCACATTTGAATACGTTTTCTCGTTAAGATGGTGTTGCAGGGAACGAAAAAGATGGTAATCTGATGGTGCCATATCTAGAGAATATGGCAGGTGGAGGAAAACTTCCCAACCCAACTCCATAATCTTGTGTTGCGTCAAACGTGCCACATGTGGATGTGCATTGTTGTGGAGAAGAACACCTTTCCAATTGACGAGTGAAGGTGTTTCTGATGAAGGGCTTGATTTAAACATTCCAGTTGCTGACTATAGATCTCTGCATTGACAGTTCACTGTAGATTGCGGAGTTTGAAATGAATTACTCCTTTGATGTCCCTCCAAATGCAAAGCATCACTTTCTGTGGATGGAGTCCAGGTATTTGGGTTGGAAGTGGTTTTTGTCTAGTACTGAGCCATTGTTTTTGGTATTTAATATTTGCATAGAGAATCTATTTTTCATCACCAGTGACAATTCTGTTCAAAGATGGTTCACATGCATTATGCGGCAGAAGAGACGAAGCAATGTTCACATGTTGGAAACAATGATCGTTGAAGAGATCATGAGGCACCCAAACACCTTCTTTAAGGAGTTTTCCCATATTCCTTAGATGTTTATGTATTCTTTCATGAGAGAGATGCAATTTCAGGGCCATTTCAGAAGTGTGTTGCCTTGGGCTAGACTCAACAAGTGTCTTCAGAGCATTAATATCAATTCCAACATGTCAACCCCTGCCATCACAGTTTTTAAGGTTAACGCCACATGAATGAAATTTGCTGAAACATCGTTGACATTTATGAATGTTCAAAACTTTTCCATAAACTTTTTTGATATTTTGTGTGGCTACAGAGACATTCATTCCCTTTTTGTATTCAAACAGCATTACATGCCAAATGTTTCTCTCATCGTGTGCCATCAGTATAAGGGATTAGAGTATACTAAACATTACACATTATATAAGCTACACTAACATGCTATGTAGGTGGTTCATTTAACTGTTATACGTGATGTACGTTGTTTTTTTTTGGGGGGGGGGTTTAATGAAAGTGTTCCAAAATGTGAAATTAATTTCTTGATGACCTAATATATATATATATGGGTGTGTGTAATATAGACACATACAAAATCTGCTTACATCCATTATATTCATAATTGACACTTTCTTGACCAAAGAGCATCTTTCAGGTGCTAGGTACACATCTGTATATATCAAATATTAAAACTTAAGTAAAAATGAGTTCTATTTATGTTTAACAAGTTTTAACTTAGAAGTATTTCAGAATTGGTATTTTGTCATTTTAAAACTTTTATTCAATGTAATTTTCGAAAGAAAAAGGAGAAAAAATGATCAAAGTTATTTTTCTGTGCAACTCCAAGAAGTCTCACCTGTAAACAATAAACTATTGAATTTAGCTTTTTTTTGAATTTTTCTTCTCCCAAAGCATAGGTTTTTATTTACTAAGAAACTATTATCTCTTGAGAAAACATTTATTCTTGTTTTATTTTTCTTGTGATTTTCCTTCTCTTTTTTGTTTGAGATTTTATTGTTGTATACCTTTGTTCTCACCATTTTATGATGTCATAGCATATGATCTGAAACACAGCTTTGTGAACAACTACAGGCTAAGTTTAAAAACTGTTGGATAGAACATATTATTAACTACTGATATCAGTGTAGAATAAATAAAGTGGTTGATTTGTGAACAGGGAATTACATGGAGCTCCTGTAGAGGGGAACAAAGAAATCTAGTGAGAAGTTTAAAGACTTAGAAATAAACCACAGATCTGGGATTTTTTTGTAGTTTCTTTGGATATTCATTTCATTTCTCCACATTAAATCATAGGCTATGGAAAATATCTTTTGTGACAAGACATCAGGTAGGCTTAGTTAAGTAAACAAGCATGCTAGGCAATGGCAAAATATTTTGATGATTCAAATCTTTATTTATTGAATAAGATTATTATATTAAAATGATGTAAATAAGTAAAAGAACTGATTATTTATCATAAAGAAAGTATATTTATTAGACATAAATTGATGTCAACCTAGAATGTTGTTAAGAAACATACTGTTATCTGACCTGACAAAGGTAATGGTGATAGCACTCTGACAAAGCAGGTCAGAGATAAATATGTGATGATTCTGCCTTGTTCTTATGACTTAAGTTTAAACTTACTGGTTGTATAAAAAGGAACTTTTGATCAACAGTAAAAGAGCAATAACAACAACTGAAGTATTTTTAATTTTTGAAATCACATTATGCAAAATTTAAAAAATAGTATATTAAATAAAATCAGTTTTTTAAAGCTAAGACTAAATACAAAATAAAGGGATATCAGCGGTACCACACTGGTCCAGAAAAGGTTAGAGAGAGTAAGAGAGTTTATCAAACTTTGCTGATTTTTTTTTTTGAGGGGGTGTTATATAGTTACTGAAAGTTATAAATTGTTAGCCCTCCTTTTATTGATAAATTAGTGTTAACATAAATAATTATTTTTATTATTTGGTTGTGTTATGCATTTTTTTTTTTGAAATATCCTCTACTTCAGCCAGTTGTCCAAGATGGACTCTGAGAGTGGAGATACTGAACAACAACGTAGGGAAAGACTTCGTTCTCTCTCCCAACAACTGTCTATTAGTAGCAGTCATAGTGAATACTCTTCACCTTCTGGTAACTTCTCAGGAAGTATAAAAAGAAAAGAATCTACTTCTACTTCAGGAAAGTTTATTGATGGAAAGATAGCTGATGGTCGACCTGTCCAGTCAAAAGATGGCACGAAGCTAATACAGTCAGAAACTGCTGAGACAGGAGAAGTAATACATTTCTCTTCTCATTTTATTTGTTCATGTTTTGTATTTCAGATTTTCTGTGAGGATTTTAGGAATCTTGAAGGAAAAACATTTCAATTTAAAATTTTAAAGTTTTTTAATGGTATTCCTCATGTTTTATCAATGCTGTGTGGTGAAAGTTTATTGTAGAAACTGAAAATGTTTATTAGTAAGCTATTAGAGTTACTGTACAGATATATAATTAGTATAGCTGACTTATCTTTATGAAGAAGGACTGCAATAACATGCTTAATATTTTTCATAGGTTAAGTTGTCTGTATATGTGACATATTTCAAGTCTGTTGGCTACCTTTGGGTTGTGGCTGTATTAATCACGTACTTGGCTATGCAAGGTTTCTCTGTTGGTTCAAACGTTTGGTTAAGTGCCTGGAGTAATGACAAACCTCAAGAAGATGGTACCCAGGATGTAAATCAGCGGAATTTGAGGCTTGGAGTGTATGGTGCTCTAGGAGCAGCCCAAGGTAATGTTGTGAAATTCTTTTTTTATTATTAGGAGTTACTCTAAATAATGTCTTCCATTGATTAATACTAGTTAGACTATTGTAGATTACATCATAGACAGTTGGAAGTATTTTAACATGTGTTGCTATATGAAAGTTTTGTTAGAGAAGTAAACTAAGCTATATGGGAACATTCTTATTATCTTATGATTTGTTGTTTTTTTCTGATAATCATTTGTAGGTGGTGGTTTTATGAAACAGAAGATCATTTTGGTATTCAGCATAAGGTGTTTATTAGTGTTGATTAAATTCCATTAGCTCTCTTGCTATGGGCTCGATCGAATTGGCCAAGTTCTTGACTCCAAATTGACCTTTATAGTTTTAATAATATAACTTCTAATATGTTCTGTGTATATTCACAAAATTTCGCAAGCTTTCAGTAAGCGTTAAGTCTTTCATAGACAAAAAATTTCTCTATGAATATATGGAGTCAAAGTGTTGACTGTTCTGAGTGCAGTGATTTTCATGTTAAGATTAAAAAAATGCTTTTCTTCATTTAAAAATTGTCAGATTTCATTTGCATAATCTCCAAAACTTCCGAAATAAATTTCAAATGTTTTCAGTAAAACTATATTTTATCTATTATTTTCTCTACCCTAGCTCTGTACGAGGTTGATCAGTTTGACTGACCTCATAATCACCATATAAAAATAAATCTAAATTTTCCTTTTTCTTTCTAGAGTGACTTCAAATTCTAATATGAAACTACATTTACTTATCCTAAATAGCTTCACTCTTGTAGCAGTATACATCTGTTTCTATTTAAATTTTATCGTTTTATTGCCTTTTGAACCATGTTTAACTACTACTCCTGCCACACAAATTGCAAATCACTTGGCAAACATGTAGTTCATGTTATCCTATCGAATTAAGGCGCAAGCTACTCGTAAGCTGCTAGTAAGAATACTGCATGAAATATTTTTTTTTATGATTTATCTTGCCTAATCTAACCTTATCTTATAATACTAAATAAAGAATACACTTAAAAACAAGGAATGTAATACCTGAATCTTCTTTTTTTTTAATGTTGACTGTGGATGAAGGTTAAGCCTATTTTTTTATACTAATGGTACTTCTACACTAAATAATTTTATATTTAATTAAATAATGCACCTAAGAACACAGAATACACTAAATAATTTCATATTTAATTAGATAATGCCCCTAAGAACACAGAATAATAACTTGTAAAAAAACAATTTTTCTGGTTTTCTAACTATGTGATAAGAATCATTAAAAATTCAGCTAAGCTCATTGATGTGTTCCCATGAAAATAAAGTTCGAACTGGAAGCGAAATAGACAATTCTCTGTAACCAAATAGGATTGAAAGCTATAAAAATCATGCTTTCCCTCAGTGATAACAATATTATAATGAGTAATTTACTTTAAATTCCATACTTCTAGAAGGGCTGATAAATGAATTAGGGAAGAGGGAATACCTAGATAGCAAATGTCACAATTCTCATACTAGGGGAGATTTAGGATTTTTTTAAATATTTTCTTATATAACATTAAGTACTTAAACTTGTATAATATTAAAAATTTGGTTTATTAACTATGTTTTTAGGTCAAGCTTATTAGTATACCATGTTAATAAAGTAGTTTAATTAAATTTTGAATGTAACTCTGTAAAAAAAGTTGTGACACGTGCAATTTGACCTGCCTATAGCAAGAGGGTTAAACTTCTTGTGACAAACTGGGTACGATAATCATCATGAGATTTGTCTGTTATTTATTAGCTCTTAAAATACAGTACACTGATGAACAAATATGTTTAAAGAGAAAAATAAATTAAATAATAAAATGTGGATTCCTTGTATTTTTACCATAAATGCTGCTTACTGTTACTTTACTAATTAATATAACAACCAAATTTAAATATTCACAATACTTTTGGGGGATATATACTTCTACCAGTCAACATATGTCAGTCACCATTTTGGTCCTAAAATTTAATTTGGAGCAAGTTTTTTGATGATGCCAGTTCCCAGCTGCTAGTGAAGCTGCCTTTTGTGGCCTATAGGTGTCTTATACAGAACCTTATGTAATCACTGATGTTTCTTTTTGATACTTTATAATATTAATGTGTCAACTTTTAGTATGAAAACTGGTTCTTATATTTGGAAACTTGAGTCTGTAATGCTGTTTGGGTTTTAGCATTTTATGGTTTTAGGCTTAAGCTAGTGTGTTATATTGTATTGAGATCCAGGAGAGATTTCCTTGAAAACTTGAACATACAGAGGTTCTAACTTATTGTGTAGCACAGTAAGCTAGAACAGATAAAGAATATCAGAGTAAAGTGAAACAACATACATTTATTCACGTGTGGAAATTATGTGGTCAGTGAAATTGTGTTTGTATCTTATTTGAAGGTAAGTATTATCAAGTAATGCACGAGTACAACATGCAGACTTTTATGTAATGAAATCTAATAATGAGGATTAAGATTAAGAAATAGTTTTCTGTAAATGTATCTGTACTGTTTTTTTGCATTCCAAAAAAGGAGCTTGTTTCCCCTGCAACATCAGCCAGAAGTGTTGTCACAGCATAGCCAACATTCATCTGTATAATGTAGATACAGCCATGATGCTAATGTGATTACAGTTGATTATATTTATTATAAGACAGTAGTGTTAAGCTTGTTGAGTTTTTAACATTACATTCTTTATTCAGTCCCTTACAGTTTTTTTTAGAATAAGAATGTTTAATAGTATTTTTTAACCACAGTATATTTGCTGTATTCACTGCTGGCAACACCTTTCACTCAGTATCGGAACTTGTCAGGCTGGCTTTGACACAACAAACACAGTAGTGCTAGGAATGCTGTTTATGCAAGCCATTTATTGGGATAACGTTTCTTATGGTATGAACACCTTTTCTGGTGAAACATGATTATAATCAGTTATATTTGTTATAAAACAATAGTATTAAACCTTGTAAAACAGAAAGTGGTAAAAGTAGAACCATCACTGAAAAACCAAACTTTGGCAAACAGCCCAATATTCATCCCAGATTAATAGCATGAATTTCAAAATGAGCCATATCTTTGTCTTGGTGGGTATTATCATCAAAGAAAGAAGGTTACAAATGCCTTGTTTTAGGAGACAAAAGATAAACATCGCTCACAAAAAACTTTATCACCTTGATTTGTTGACTGGTAGTGGTGTAAAACAATACAGACAAGTTTAGAGAATTCAGTCATATTCCTTAGTGTTTAAACTTTAACTAGCTCATTACTTGGTATAGAAATGTACATATTAATTACAATTTTCAAAGGAAATTATAATTCAGAAATTAGTTTAGGAGCTGTATGATCTTTTAAAATTCACAAGATGTTAACATGATTCAAAATATTTTGTTCATTTCCTTTTGATATTTTTAGCTGAAATGATAAGGTTATGAGTTGTTTTTTTGACAGGACTCAAGTGAAAAAAGTGTTTTTTCTTAAAGTGTAAAATAAATCTCAGAATTCCTAGACTTATCAACGAATTGGCAACACAAAATGGTGCTACACCATTTTAACTTACCGACATTAAAAATAATACAACGTGTATGTCTTTGTTTACCTTTTTATTATTAACTAAAACCTTTCCTATATATAAAATCTGGTAATGAAATTAAAAATGTGTTGATGAATGGAAACAAGGTAATTTTATGAATATTTCTCTCAAATCACAGGAATTGCTGTTCTCATGGGATCCTTTTCCCTGTCTTATGGAACAATGCAGGCATCATCACTTCTTCATGGTCAGTTGCTTCTGAACATTCTTCGGTCACCTATGCATTTTTTTGACACAACACCCATTGGTCGAATTGTCAATCGTTTCTCTAAAGATATAGACACTTTGGATATCACAATTCCCATGAACTTAAGAAGCTTTTTGGCTTGCTTTCTTCAAGTACTTGCCACCCTTTTTGTCATCTCATTAGAGACTCCCATTTTTCTTGCTGTAATATTGCCAGTGGCTGTGGTATATTACCTTGTACAGGTTAGTTGATTTGTAATTTTGTTTGGACTTTTCTTGTAAGTTTTACAAAACAAATGATTTGGCATTAACGAAATAATATATACTAGCTGCAACCTGTAAAACATCTGCAATAGTTTTCATGCCCTTTGCTTGAATTTTCCTTATTCTGTCATTTTTTCATATGCTATTTAAGCTACAATTTCTTGCAGGCATTATGTGTTAGATCGATAAATCCTGGTCTATTTGAAAAAATTTTACTTGGTTATACAAACACTCATGTAGACATAACCTTGATAAAACTACATGTACATAACTCTACTTTATTTTTACTTTGCACATAGTTTTATTAAATAAAGTAATGGTGTATGTAAAGTAGACAATAAAGTAATGGTATTTATCAATAGTAAAGAAAAAAGTAGCTAAAAGGTGTTTATAGCAGTCTGTGAAATGAAATTAAGCTAAATTAATGAAAAAAAAAGGAAATGTAAAGTTGTAATAAAGGCAATCTTAGCTGAATATGCAGAAACCTCTGAATGTGTGTTCACAAAGTGATAAGCATATGGTTTTGAATGAACTGCACACGCATATTTTAGACCTAAATAAGTCGAGAAAGCCCATAGAAATTGTATTTTATGTAATGTTAATTTTTTTTAGAAATTAGACACAGGTTAAATGTTGTTTTATGTGAAATACTTTGCAAATATACAAAATAAAGATGAAATGGAAGCCAGTCATCATGTGATGACAACGATGTGCCATCATGTACCATACTTGTTGCATTGAAAAGTTTGGCTAAGCAAAAACAGGTAAGATGATTCTGAATTGAAAAACCAGCAAGCAATCTGGACTTCTCAGACAAAGAACTTTCTATTCATATGAGATTTGTAGTGTTTGATGGAGACAGACAAACGCAAGAGTATTAGTTATATAAATTTTTATGTGGAGCTGTAACATATCAACTACAATTACTAGTATGGAGCATCTTAAACATCTTAAAAGTAATAAAAAATTCTTTAAATAACTATGAACATACAGTGAAAAAAGATATTGGTAAAAAGTAAGAACATTGTTTTTAAGGTTCAAATTACTTTATTTATACATCTCACTCAGTATGGTTATTGAATATAAAATTGATTAGAAGTATTTTAACTTAATATCATACATAGAAATTCTACATAGCAACGTCACGTCAACTGAAAAGGCTGGAGTCTGTTACCAGATCACCAATTTATTCGCACTTCTCCGAAACGCTGGCAGGAGTCAGCACCATTAGAGCTTATAATGCACAGGAACGTTTTGTTCGTGAGTCCAATTCCAGAGTTGACACCAATCAGTCGTGCTATTTCCCCAGCACAGTTTCTAATAGGTAAAGATGTTGAAAAAGTCGTATTCTGATGGATGTGGATAAAAATATATATATATAGTACACTAAAAACTAATGAAAGAATACTATGTTCTAAAAATTAGGATGAAGTATTTGTAAATGTATAAAGGCAAAAACAAAATTAATCTAGTGTAATTTATACAGTAAGTAACTTTTATTACGTGTAAAAACTGTAGAATGTTGAAATTGTAATGAAATGTGAATCATTGAAGAGTATATAATATATATACAAATTATGACTATGAACTCTATTCTTCGAGGCTTGGTTTTTTTTGTGTGCAAAGCTACACAACAGACTATCTATGCTCTGTCTCCTTTGAGGGGAATCACACCCCAGATTTTACCTTTGTAAGTCCAGAAACTTACCACTGATTCACTAGAGGATGTGAAACTAGAGTTTTTCTTAAACAAAATTACTTTAATGAAATATTTTTAAAGAAAGCAAACACTATGAGTTTGTGAAAAAAGAGTTTTATGTAATAGTTATAATAAGAAAACGTACATTAAAATGACAGAATTTTGAGTACGTTATGTTAAAAAGGATTTTAAACATTCAAGCAAGTCATTGACAGCCACAGCTAATATAAAGTAGTGATGGAATGGTTTGTATCCGAACTACATTGTGACATAGCTTGGCATTTTGTAGGTAGTGTGATCTTATTGAAAATTTATCACTTTTGGGAAGTGGATGTAATAGCCTTTTCTGACACACAATAGTCATACACTCAGATCATAAAGATGTGTTCAGTTTGAGCATTGAGAACTGCCAAGATAGGGATATACTTTTTATTGAATGACATTGGAAAAAAAAAGGAATATGGATCAACTTGGGGCACCAGGATCATCCAGCCTGCAAATATTTGTACCCCCAGCCATGGTAAGCAATAGTGGCATCTTTGAACAAGGTTGGTGGCAAAATCCATCCTCGTAATCCAGGGAACAGAACACAACATAATCAAGAAGGATCTCCAGCTATAAACGAGGCCAATGGTTTTACCAAGATAAGGCTTCCAGTCATATACCTCCTGTTCAACCACTGCATATCTCAAGTAACTGGAGAATGAAATGGGTGTTCATACTGTTTCATATGAAGCTGTACTGGTCAAGTTGCTGTGGATTTCTGTATGATTCTCGTGTTGGAATGGCAATGAGGAACCACTGTTTTCTAACACTAGGAAGATTATGGGAAGCACTTAGAGAGGAATGGTGTGCTTGAGGCATTACAGACTTATGACAGAGTCATTTGCAATGGAAACTATATTGAAGGGATTTTGTGGAGATGGACACTCATCAAACAGAATATAACTGGGTGTGACTATATGGACTGTAATGACATGCTGAGGCTCCAAAACCTTTTTAATATAACCTACTCATCCCTTTGTAGGTTTTAACAAATACAGATTAAAATTATCGTGAGGAACATTTTAAATCAATTTTATAATAAGAACTAATTTAGAAAACATTGGTATAGTATTCATAAAGGTGTTTTTTAAATACAAAACCAAACACTCTTATCTTCTTTTCTTGTGATTTTAACATGTGGCTTTATTTATATTTTTTATGTGAAAATTTAGCTATTTAGTTTTATTAAGTTTTTGTTTTCCCAGAAAAAAATCAGCAATTCAGGCATCTTTTTATTTTACAGATGGTTGGCCATCAGGCTTGAGTTTTGTGGAAACTGTATTGTTTTCTTTGCTGCCTTGTTTGCTGTTCTTGGAAGAGATACTCTCAGTCCTGGCTCTGTTGGGTTATCTGTCAGCTATGCAGTCTCAGTATGTACATATGTTACTTAGAAACAAATCTGATTACCAGTGAAAGATTTATTTTCGTTTTTCATTATGTTTCAACACTATGCATGTAGGTAACCTTAACAAGCTAGCAGCAGTAAAAGTTGATTTGAAGTCATAGAAACAATGTTTATTTTTTAAAATATTGTATTCACAACAAAATATCTTTTTATCTTTGTTTTGTTTTCTGTCTCTAGCTGCTTAATTATTATTATTGTTCTTATAGGCTTCTCATTTTAAGTAGTTAGATGGAGCCACCATTTATTATACATGGTACATGCATTGAATAAAAATGTTAAGATTCAGTTATATCTTCACAACAAAACTGGGTGTGGCCTTATAGTTAGCATATTAGACTGAAATCCATAGGCCTATGGTTAACACTTTGGGGCTGTGGGTGCATTATAAAAGTAGTGGTCAAATCTTGCTATTTGATCAAACAAAGTTCACTACTAAGTCCAATATGTTTGAATATGAGGATGTTGTCTCACAAATGAACTAAATTAATTCATTCACACAGCCTTATATTAAAATGTAGAAATAATGTACATATGACTACTTCTACATGAAAGTTAAGGTCATAAAAGACAAAAAATTATAAACCGGAGTTGATTCCAAAATAAATATACAATAATGGAAAGAGTTAATTGAGATGAATTTTTGTATGTTTTTTTTTAATTCAAATTGTTTATATCATATTTGTTTATCTTAAAAACAGTACTTGTTACATTAATTCGGACCTTGAAAATTTGGTTGGTTAAACCTAAATTTAAGCTTACCATTTGTTGTACACAATTTGCTTTTTAAAAAAAATTTTTAGTAACATTTTTTGTTCATGTGATGTAGATCACTGCTGTTTTGAATTGGATGGTACGGATGAGTTCAGAACTGGAGACAAATATTGTGTCAGTGGAGAGACTTTTAGAGTACACTACTACCCCTAATGAGGTATAGTATTTCATTTTTGGTTTTATGGTTACACGTACAAACAAAGAATGGAATGTTGCTGAGAAGATTTACAGTTTTCTCAGTTAGTAATAACTGTAAAAACCAAATGTCTTGTTGCTTTCTGGCATTCTGTAATTTTCACAAAGGATCATAGAACAGAATAATAATTAAATCTCTGAAGATATATGTAGCAAAGTTGGAATGTATGTCGGAGATCGAATTATTTTTGCAGTGCCCTTTCTTAATTTTTTGTCCATGCATTCCAAAATACATGTGCCAAAAAATTTGTGTCCTATCTTGTGGGAGTTGCACTCAAATATTTATCTACAATTTGTGTAAAAGGAATGTAATATTGTTATTTTGCCAAATTAAATACTTTTCATCACATAAACATGACAAAAGTAACTTCGTGACCTTTCAGCTTGAATCTGAGAGCTGTAAAAATGAGGTCTCCCTGAACTGTATATTGGTTAAGATTGATGCTTCCATATGCTTTTTTCATAAACCTTACAATAAATTATGTCAGTGATTCATTTATTTACAAGTTTTTAGATTATAAGAAATTGACACATAAGTGTAATTTTTGCTAATTTCACTGCAATTGAACCCAAAGGGCATCGACCACGTTGTTCAATGATTTTATGAAATACCATCTTCATGTTTTGAACTGTTTGCATGAATGAAGTACCTGCATGTTGATAACGAATTTTTTTTACTAGTGCTATGTATACAGATCTCAGTAAAAGCTGCTAATAACTTGTTTAATAAATATTTAGAATTGAGTATGATTTGTAATTTGTGTAACTATTGTTTTCATAAAAATTACATTGATTTTTTTAATCAATTTTGGAAAGTATTACTCGTGTTAATCATTTGAAATAAAATTCTGTCAAGTTTAACATATACAAGTTGTAGAACTGGTTTTCATTAAAATATCATTCATATCTTAATACTTGTATTTATTTTTTTTAATTTTGATTAAGAGTTCAATAAAAAGTTAATATTGAGTGGCAAAGTTTGGATTGTATAAATTGTACTTTAAATGTCCGAAAATCTAGTTCACACAGCAAAAGAGTCATTAAGTCTGCTGTGTTCTGCATTCAAGGGGTTTTTTGTAACTTGTACTTTTCAATCAACATTTGAAAAATGTTAATTCTAAAATGAAAGGAAATATTTAAAAAAATGTTTTAAACAGTCTCACAAGAAACTTTTTGACATTTTGCAAAATAAATATGATGGAAAAATTAAATCAAATTATATTAGTATCTAGTTTGGGCTTAAAGAAATTATTTAAGAATAGGAAGACTAAATCAAATTGTATGTATTTATTTAAGTTAAAACTAGATACTAATTAAATATTTATTTATTTATCAGAAGGGAGTAAGAGCAATTGGAGAGATTGCATACCCTCCTCCCACTGCTCCTTTTTGAGACTGCATGCTTTTATATTGGATAATGTAAAATTTCATCTTTCACCTTTGAAAACTTCTCGGATAAAGAATGATCAATGATCTATATCATTTTTTTCTATTGTGATGAGGAGTCTAAACCTTAATTTGTCCATGAAATTTGGTACAAATCCAATCACACTTTACAGAGTTGTTATATAAAAGCTTCAAAGTGATCCAGAATCTGGACCTGCATTTAGTTCTGGACCAAATTTGGAGAGAACTGTTCCATACTGACTGCCCAAAGATTTTCGTGTACATTAGTCTGTTAGTTTTCGAGATACACATGTGGAAACACAGACACGCACATGGACTGAAATACCCTTGCAGGGCAAGAGTAATGATCAAGAGATATCAGTGAAACCCTTCCCGTCTGGATAGGGTTAAGATGCATCTAACTTCTTTATTACATCCCTTTCCCATTTTTATGCATCCAGTGAATATAAGTTGTTGTTTTTTCCATCCAGTTGATTTAGTTTGCCTTAGTGCAGCCACTGTTTGGACAATTGGT